ATTTAAGTTTAATTTTTAAGAATAATAGTGAAAGATCTCCTTGTTAAACTATATGACTGCCAAAGCATTGGATGCCATCTCTGTTTGCCCCTTTCTGAGGCAAGAGACAATTTGCATGATACGCCTCCCCTTCCCTTCCACCCTTTCCAGGTGGATTATTTCAGTACCAGTCAATGTCTGGGGGCCAGTGGCTGGGAGCTGGCATCTCCTGCACGGCTTCTGTGCCTTACCAAGGTCTCCAGATGCTGTGGGTGTGACTGCCTGTCAAGAGGGGCTTGGCAAGGACACCCCGGTGACCTGTCAGCTCTGCTGAGGTGTTGTGTAGGAATGACCTCTTTCCACCTCCTGCCTGAAATCTGGAGCTGGGCACTGTGGGCACAGGAGGACATCAGTGCTCTTCCAGGTGCTCCCTGCTTCCCAGAGCCTCTGCACCATTGCTGCCATGGCAGTTCCCATCACAGCAGTTCCATTTCTGGGTTTCTGAGGGACACGTGGTATTTTTCTATGCTGGCACGACTGGGTCAGGGTAAGGGCCCTGGAGGGAGTCCAGAGCAAGGGAGGGCTTTGTTCAGCTGCTAACTCTTGTTCATTGCCCTTCATCACTCAACTGGATGCCATCCACCTCTTTTCCAAAAGTGCATTGCATTCCATGGCCTTTCTGTAATGGACCTGCCATCCCCAGCAGGATGTAAAGGGACTGGGGCATGGGGTGTTCCAGACAGGCCTCTGAGGCAGCTGGATCTGGGCTGGATGAGGGGAACCAGAAGCAGTGACAATACAGCATTGAATGCAAAATTTAAAGGGGGTGTCAGAGTAGCCAGACCCTTCCACCAGAGTGTAGAAAAAAAAAAGCTTCAAGTTGAATATCTTGTGTAAAAGAGCAGCCAGTAGTGCCCCTCCCCATCAGTTCTGCCCTCTTTTCACCCCTGCCTCACTTCCTCCTCTGTGCTCAGCAGCTGGTGAGGCTGAAGCTGGTTGATGGTGTGTGAAGAGCACAAGGACACAGGCTGAGGAAGCATTAATTGCAGGAGAGCACTGGGAGGGTAAAAGCTGCCCCCAAAGGACAGCCTGCTCCAAAGAGGGCACAGTGTGTGCAGCACATGTGTCACACTGGGCTGTCATCTGGTGGGACTGGCATGATGTGTTTCTTCTGAGCCCATGGCAGTGTAGATGTGGGAACACCCCCTGTGATACCTGCCTGGTCAGCCAGAAAGATGAGAATGGAGTGTCTGGCTTGTGGAGACAGTCTAGGCTGGGAGATAGAATTGTCTTGTTTTTTATGCAAGGAAGTTTGGGTTTTACTCTTTGGTTTTTTGCCATATCCAGTTAAATATAGCCTTTTAATTAAGGATAAGCCAGTGTTTCTACCACAAACTCATAAAGAAACCAAATAAATTATTTGTTGGGTTTTTATAAAACAGGCAGTCTCTTGAGAAGAAAGGTCTAGGACTAAATTAGCAAGAATGCTGCAGGTCAGGTTTGAAGTACTGCATGGTGACAGAATTGTTTGGGAAGATTTGCCTGGAATTATCTCTCTGCTTATCTGAGTTATCCTGCTGAAATCACTCAGATTATTTAAGTGAAAAGTGTCTTTCCCCAGTCAAGAACTTTCAGGGTCTTTTCTTGAATAGTGAGCCCATTAAAGCAGGGCTGGCTTATTACTAAACCTTTAACTGAAATGCTGCTCTCCAGAATGGTGTGTAACAATCTCTTCACAAAATCAAACTTTAAAAAATGTTCCTAAACAAGCATGGACAATATGGTGGCATAAAATTTGTGATTCCTTTTTCATTTAGTGATGCATTTTATCTTCCATACATCATTCCAATCAGGTAGGGGTGGGGTTTTTTCAGCTATAAATCAGGAGTTTGATTATATCATGTTTTTATGCCAGCCTTACAGTACATCTGTTTGCCATTGAAGAAAGGTTCATTTTTAGGCATAGAGATTGTTATAGCAAGGAGGGCAGCCAGAGATAATCAGTCTACTAATAATTTCAACCTAATAAAATCAGCCCAATACTAATTTCTGTGCAATGCACATCATCTGGATAGTTAGTTCTTAAAAAAACCTGTCATGATAGCTAATGGAGCACAGAACTTAGATCCAACTAAAACCTAAGCAAAATCCTATTTATTCATTCGGACAGAATATTTGCATTTTGTAAGTGTGTAGGAAAGTTTGATTAACATTATATCCAGGTTTTTGTTTCCTCAATTCTCACTTCTCTTTCTCAAAACAAGCATGGCAAACATATCCAAAAGATAGTTCAGAGGAACTCTGGAGCCCAGGTAATGTCTGAGAGTCCATAGGACACTTAGAGTTGTGAGCCTGATGAGTTTTCATGCTACAAATGTTGAGAAGCTTCTGGTAAATTATGCTTCTATTAGCCCTGGGTTCTTTAGTATTTTTGATTCTTTGTGGTTAGCCACCTTATGTCCAGAGTCTGGGTTAAAATGTCTTTATTTTCTGTGTGATTGAGAAGTTCATGCCTTCTCTTCAGCCTGTATCTTATCTTCTGTGTCTTTCTCAGGAAATAGATTTAAAGGTAAGGTAATACAAGATTTGATAGACATAATCTAACAGATTTTGATAAAAAACAGCCCACTGAAATTATTGTCAAAATATACAGAAGGGAAACAAAGTTCAGAAGTCTGTTTGAAGATGTAGTATCAGTACCTTTAATTCAGTTTGTAATTTAAAAAAACACGTCTAAAAAACACAGCAAAACAAATACCAGAAGTCCCACATCCAAAGCAGAACATATCCTTATATATACACAAAGTGCTTAAAAATTCCCAACAGTTTGAAGATGCTATGTTTGAAGTAGCATTTTAAAAAGCTGGCAAGACTATGCCTTTTTCAGCAGTCTGTTGAATACTGTTGAATAGTTTTTCATTCCTGACTTAGAAACTGATTATGCATCCACTGAGCATAAAACTTAAAAGTAGTGAGCAAAGTCCAATCAACATTTTTATAGAAAAGCACAGGAGTCAGTGCCAAAGTGTTATAGCTCTGTGAAGCTGTTCAAGTGTCCTGGCTTGCTCAGACTGACTCCTCTGTGGCCCAGGCTGATTTTAAAGTTTAAAAATCTTCACTTTCACTTGAAAAGGCTTCCTGGAATACACAGTAAGTAATTGCTTTTAGCTCCTCAGCACATAACGATAAGTCCAAATACAATTTGAAAAACTAAGAACCTTTTAACATTTCAGAAGCTTCTTACAAGAATTAAATCAACAAGGAGATGATGAGTGGGATGCTGGAGGTCTGTGCTCTCTGTAGGGAAACACTCAGAGTGCCCTGTGGCCCTTGGGAATGTGGCTGCACTGCCAGACTTTGGGTACTCGTGGGTGATCTGAATCTTCCTATGCAAGCTTTGACTTCTCCCTCTTGACTCTGTGGGAAATTTAGGCTCACTAGTCCCCACCTGCAGACCAAAATTCTCAGCTGTGGCATCATCCTCAGGTCCCCTCCCATGTGCCCGCATCATTAAAGCTGGAGGTGATGGTGACGAGATGTTGTGATTTGTTAAGCTGTCACACTGAGTCTTAGCTGATGTTGCCAGTTCAGGTATAGATAACAGCCAGATCCTGTCTGCTCCTCCTGAGACTCTCTGAGACTCTCCACCTAGAGTGTATTCAGCAAGGGACATATGAAATCTGAGGCCATTTGCCCACCCCAAAAGCTCAGTTTGCCCAGAGACATCCCCCACAGGTGTGGTCACCCCTTTCCCGAGCGGCGCATGTACAAATGTACAGGTACAAAAAAGCAGTGCACTTGTACATTTCTGCATAAATTAAAATACTTCACTATATAAAGTTTCCAACTTTTCTGTTCTTCAGATTTATGAAGAATCTTGTTTTATGCCAAACCCATTTGTACGGCCATATGTTGATTTTTCAAGGCAGGCTTATAGAAAGTTACTAGGTTGCATGATCACCTTGTCTGTCATGAAGGTAGCTTGGAAAGGAAGGTAAGTGTGAAAAGAATAATTTATGAGAAAGATATATGTAAGAATGTTTCAGGAAATCAGCATCATTTAGATGGTGCTGAAAAGATTCTGTATTCTGTTGTCATTTTGAGAACCTTTAAAGTGAAGTGTAAAATGTAAAATATAAAATAGAGTGGATCTATGAAAACCTTAATGTTGTGTCCTTTGCCTCATTGTGAAGCAAGTGGTTGTCTATGGGAGCTCTGACAATTCAGTTTCTTTAGTGTATGTTTCTTAATGTGTGTTCCATTGCTGTTAAAGAGGTGTGAAATTATATTAAAGGAAACTTTCCAATTACCTAGCCCAAAACAAGTCCAGTCAGAATGTAAAAAATACTGTATATTTTCCTAAACATTCTGAAGCAGGTTTGAAAAATCCCACTGACTGTGTGTGTTCCTGTGTTCTACTAGCATCTTAAAAAAATACTTTTAGCATTTACCATTATTGTTAGAGAGATCAACTATTTGAAGACTAAGACTGTCAGTTCAGTTGTCTTAACGAAAGAGTAGTTCTATACTTCCAGTGTATCTCTTTTTAGACATTACTGAAATAGAACATGTGAATGTTTTCTTCACTATTTCATTATTTTCATTTATTTATTGAAATAACTACACTGACTTCTGTTGTTTGATGTTTCTACAAATGGTAAAGTAAGTCAAGCTAACTGTTTATTTAGTAGGATTCACTCCCTGTCTCTTTAGACTATCATCCTACAAATGCTTATATAATTTACTTGGCATATATGTGTAGCAGGTTTTCAATTAAATGAATATTGATGGAAATATTACCCTAAGTTATAAAATAATCAGAGATTGGTTTAGCTCTGTTTTGTGGAACACCAAATGCTTTATTGTGACTTAACTATTAAACATGTGCAGCTACTTCCAGTGCGCATAGTTCCCAGTTTATATGTGTAAAGTAAAATGCATATTAATGTGTGATATCTGTGTATGAAATTTGCAGATACTAAGAAAAAGTGCAATGTTAACGGTACATCTTTATTTTGTAGCTTGGATCATCCTCCTCTGTGCCTTTTACATCCATATTCTCGCAGCTGTTTATGACTGTTGTAGTCCCTCTTATTATTGGACAGGTATGTCTTTTAAATATACATTCTTATTTAAAAAAACAAGATAAAGAGAGCTATCTTAAAGACAGACTGGCAACCTGATAAGCTGCCACATAGGAACAGCCTCAGGACAGTGAAGTCTAATATCAGGGAAAAGATGCTCCAGTGCTCCCTGGAGCCACATTGATCTTTGTTGAGATTGAGCATCTGTCCCTCACTACCACAAACACACGCTGCTGCAGAGAGAGGAGGGAGCTTGTGAACATAAAGTGGGAAAAATGGCAGCCCAGGCTGTGAGAAATTCCAGCCCCATACAAATGAGCTTTGAGAATACTACACAGTCCTTTTGTCACATGCCCTTTGCCTGGGGCTGAAGGAAGTCCTTCTTCCCTGTGTAGTATCTACTAATAATTACAGGAATTAAAATCTCAACATTAATAAACATATAAAGGCTAAGCGGTCACAAGTTAAGAAATCATCAAATTAAGGCTGCTCAAGCCATTTTGCCTATGCTTTGCAGTAAGGGTTTTAGTTGCACAACTGCAAATTATTTTTACATTACTTCTCTATTATGTTACACTGGGTGGAAGGTATTTGTGAAATGAACAGTTATTCAAACAGTTATTCATTTAATTTTATACTCATTGTTCATATGTTCACACAAAGCCTTATTTTCCATGGCTTATGATAGAAAACTTCCATTGAATGTAAAAAATGCTAATTGCATGTGTAAGGTTTTCTGTGATCCTTGTCTCTGTAGTGTCTGTCTGTTCACAAATGTTAATATTAGTTATTTTTTCTCTCATGTCATGGTGGGAAATCACAATAGTGAGACCAAAAGTTGTCATAACTGTTGTCACTGCTCTTGGACACTAAAACACCTTAAGTCTATTTTTTACTTACTTCTTGTAAGTACTTGTTGTTCTCAGGCACTTTGAATGCACAGAGGGTGTGTGAGTGGGATTTGCAGCTCATTCTAGCATCCAGCTGAACTCTGGGTTCAGCTGGAACCTTCTGAAATTTGTCAGCCTAAAGCAGACTTTGGAATGGAAGGCATGGTTAAAATACAGGAAAATGAGAGCAGAGACTGTAAAGGAGCACCCTGGACAAGGTTAAGAGTGTTGTCATTGCCTGTGCTACATAGGGCAGTCCATCAGTCTTGTGTCAAACTATAATTGCACATTTCAAAATCGGCATGTACTGAAACTTAACAAATTCCTGGTGAAGTTTCTTTTGATTAAAAACACACATTGAACTCTAATAAAGGGACGAGCATGATAAGCATGAGAGTAGTTATCAGCATCTGTGTAACCTCTCTGCAACCATATCATCTGGAAAATGGACATTAGCCCTGTGTCCCTGAAGGCTGTGGAACTGCTCTCATGCTTTGGATTAAATGCCAAAGAGTTTCTTTAATAATTAGGACAAAGGGTTGCTGATTAACCTACATCTGTACTGTGTTCTTACCTCATCAGAATTAAGTGTCCACCAAAAGCAGACAAGCAAAAGTACTTGAATCCTCTTCTGAAAGATCCAAACACTGGAAGCTGTTAGTTGGAAGCCTTAGGTGGAAATTTCTAGTGAACAAATGCACAACAGCAGATTTAGCAATAAAGTGTCCTATAGCCATGGAGTATCAGCGTCTGTGCTGCAATGTAATAAACCCAAAGATGATGGTAGATTGCTGCACAAAGTGATGGCAAAATTTCAAGAGAACTTTCATCTGTATGTATAATGGAATGTTACTTTGGAAAGATGTTACAAGAAATTGATATGTCAGCTAATTGGTGGAGTTGGGTGTTCTTTCAGCTGTTAGAAGTGATAAGGCTGAGTATCATAATTGGAGCAGTAGGCATATGAATTAAGTGCTCTGTATGGTCACAAGATTGAAATCAGAATTGTGATTCTGGTTGAGATGAAATTTAAGAGTTCTGATAAAGACTGAAAGAAAAAATAGAGAATCTTAAAGCTTGTGTAATCCAATGACAAATGAATAGTTTCGGTTTTTACAAATACACTTCAACAAGAAATAGGATGATTCTTCTTTAAAAGTCTTTTAAGCAGTTTCTGGAAGTGAAAGATCAACAAAAGTAGCCCACATTCCTCTAAGCATAAAGACTTTGTTTCTGAAGTTATTGCACTTGACTATATCTGTTCAGAGGATAGAGAGGAGAAATGCTAAAGAAAGCTACAGCTCTGAAATGCCAGTAGTTTACAGTGATTGTCTTGGTTAGGTTGAGCTGTACAAAGGTAAACCAACCTGCCCAGAGAGCAATGAATAAAAGCCATTTCTGAAAGTGGATACCCAAAAGTAATGGGCAGGAGTCAGGGAAGATAGCAAGCAAGAAAAGGACTGATACCAAGAGATCCAGTGATAGGTCTCCTTGCCCTTCTTCTGCTCCAATTCAATGGGAAGTTGTGCCCTTTGTTCATAGACCACCCCTGACTCATCACTGAGATGTTGCCTGGCAGGTGGCACAGGGACATGTTTGTGAACCACAGGTCTGGGGTTCCAGATGTGATAGGGGATAATGGCCCACAATTCCTGAATGATGCCTTCAGCACTTGATTCGAATTCATCATTTCATGCCCACAACATCAATTCCTTACCACATGCAGCCATACTGTTCAGAGGAAAAGTCAGTGGAAGAAAGTCTGGTAAGATGACCTGGTAACAAAGAGCTTGACTGGGGGGGAAAAAGCCCTCAAGCTTGAAACCTGCCTGCTTGGAGGATTTCCTCTCCTCAGCCTTCCAACCTCATCTGTGATCAACAGGGGCTTTATGCTCGAACCACATCAGTGTAAAACAGAGGAGGCTGCTTAAAGGAAGCGTTCTCCAAGGGCTTTCTTTTCCTTTAAAAAAAATCTTGCCTCTGGGAAAACCTGTGTTGCCTAAATGCTCATTTCCTGAGCAGGCTGCAGAGCTGGCTGTTTGAGCAGCCTCTGGGATATAAACAAAGCACATAAAAAGGTGCTTTTAGATTTGTTTTGTTTGGGGGTTTTTGTTTGCTTTATGGCAAAACGTATCAAGAGTTTTGGTTGCTTGGCTGGCTTGTTAGAATTTTTGATGATGGCTGGGAGAAAGAAGTCACAATAGTGTAATTGATGCTTTTTTTTTACTTTTTTTAGCTTTTTAGGACTACTATTGACAGGAGTCAAACATGCTCTTCTAGCCTAGCTGCTGACATTGAAATGTATAAAGGGCTGCAGGTACAGGCTCTGCTCAGGTGGTGGACCATTCTTTAGGGAAAGAAAGAGCTGTTAAAGGAAGAAGAAGATACTGTGTTATCAGAAAGGCACCGAGTCTCACAGATAGCAGTGATTGATAGATGGTCCCCAATAAAAATTGCTCTGTTCTTTGTCAGAGTCATGCAGGTTGTCTGAACCTAAAAAATGTTGCAGCCTGTGTCCTCAGTGTCTACAGAAGTGTTCTGCTAATTGACAGGCTGGTGTTGCTCAAATCAGTATTGATAGTATAATATTGCATTTGTATTTGTAGAGTAACAAATAAGACCCCTCTGACAAGAGGTCTCAAAAAGGGACATAATTTATAGTATTTTATAAAGATCTAATTTCCTATAAGCCTTGAAGATCTGTAGTGGGTAAGAGCTTGTTATTTGTGCATCACTCTTGTACACCTCTAAGGGGAATTTGAGAATACTTGTTATACAATAAACATGGTAATAGATATTTCATGGAAAAGATTTTTGAATCTGCTCTGGCAGTTGGAAGTTCTGATTATTTTTTATCTGGGTAACAGAGTCCTGGGCTAGATTGCTGCTCTTGAGCTGTTGTGATTTTGCTACAATCATTGTTTCCCTGCCCATAGATATTGCTAATACTTTTAGCCATCAAAATGTAAGATTTTGAGAAATATCCAAGCAATTTCTTCGTGACCAGTTGTGAGATTTAGCTGGAGACTGTTGTTTCTTTGCTTATTTTTTTCTTCTGAAGTGACAGATAACAGGAACAGTGAAACCCACCACAATGTTTCCTTTCCCCTTTTTGCAGACGTTCTCCGTTCCCTACACCTAAGTGCTTATGACAGACTTTTATTTTATGTTTTATATTAAAGAGCGATTTATGATTAAATGTTAATGAAATAGAATTTTCACTGTGCTTTCATTATATTCTACTAGTTTGAACATTTTTCAAAGCAGCACACCAAAACCCACTGTTTTCTATGAATAAATAATAAAAAGCTTGTCTGTACATTATCATTCATGCATTCTCTAGTTGCCCCATTGGTAATTTGTCTGCCAGCGTAAAGTGGGCACTTCACATTAAACAGACCTTAACTAAAGCTAAAATTAATGTTATGATTCTGTGTAGTTCTTCTTCCCAAATCTATAAAATGAAACCAGTTGTACAGAAATCCTCACTGAATCTAGTCACACACAAAAAAAATCTTGATGTCCTACAAGTAAAGGATCTTAAGTGCCTTCTGCATCGTTGCCCAAAATGTTCCAGAGGAGCCCTTTCAGCATTTGGGAGCTGTGCTTATCAACACAAGTCTAAAAGGGTGCTATGTTGCAATACAAGTTGTAAGTGAAATTGAAACTAAAAAGCTTAGCAAGGTATTTATTTTTAAAGAATGAGAAGTGGAAAGGGGAAGGGAGGTGGAAGTTGATAGGAAGTAGAAGGAATTATTTAACTAAGGGGGGGAAATAAAAATTAACAGAACTGTTATAAAAAAAAGGGGGGAATAGTGTCAAATCTGTCTCTTCTTGTAAATGAAATCCACATAGAAGGAAACCTTATTCTCTTCAAAGTCCAGGAGAGCTGCAGGGAGGAGAGGTACCCTGGGAGATGAGCTCTCCAGGAGCTTTTTGCAGAGGACCAAAGAAGTGGATAAACAGCCTTCAGAACACACTCCACTCCCTACTAAGACCTGACTCAGCAGGGAACAGAGCCTCCTTTCCACAGAATGCAAAATATGAAGGAAAGGTACTGATGCTGCAGACACCCTTCACATTTTTATCATGTTGCACCTGTTTATAAGGTTTTAAAACAACAGTTGCAAA